TATATATCTGTATATATGTCTGTATTTATGTATATATAGAGAGAGCGAGAGAGTTGGAGAGAGGGAGACTGTGTGTCTGAAAGGGGGGCTCCAAACCAACTGTCATTAGGTGGTGAATTTCTAGAGAATCGATGGATCTATTGCACTGCTCTTAAAAATGAAATCTATAATCAACTAATCTTGAGGGTTGTAGATTGAAATATGTATAAAAATGGGTCTGTCTAGTTCATTTTAATTGATTATGATATTCATAGGTTGTGGATTCTTTTAGAGATTGAATCCGGGATTAAAAATTCGTGATAAAAGCTGCTAGAATTGTTGAAAAAGGAAAAAGACAACAAATTTTCCATCTAGATAACTTCAGAGACGGTCACCGGAACAGTGAATTCTAGCACGCCGGTGAGTAATATGACTTTAACAGCGGACTACTTTTGAACTTAGTAACTTCCAGCTGATCAAAAATAAATACTCATCTATAATTATATATATATATATATATATATATATATATATGATATATATGCATACATTGTTCTTCTTGACGTTGTTAGCTTAGAGAGAAAAATAATTAATGTGGAAGAGATGAGGGGTTAATGGGTTTAGAAAAATAATTAATGTGGAGGAAATGATGGGTTAATGGGTTTAAAGGAGGAGGGAAGAGTTTCATTTTGTGTTTACTGCATTCTTCAACCTCGGTTAAACAATGACAATGGAGATGGGTTGAATGGAAATGGTAGTGGTACAAAGGAGATGGTAAGGGTTCAGTGCTTTTACTTTGTGTTTTTTGTTTTTGTTAATGTATTGTAGTGAAGCAAAAGCACCAAGCATGCTTGGTAATATTTGTTGTGCTTTTGAATAGTACTGAAGCTTTTGTTTGCTTTCAGTGTAGTAAAGCACTGTTTAAAAATAAAATAAAATAAAAAAAAAATCGAAAATAACATTTTTAAATAACCATTTAAAATTTAAAATTTCAACATTTTTTACTAAATATACTTTCATGTTTTTGCTTCTATCAAATAAGCTTCTAAACAGTGTTGAACACATCTTTAAAAATAGAAACATTGTTTTTACTTCATGTCAAAGCAAAAACACAAAGAAAGTATAATTGCCAAACGAACCCTAAAATTGCCTAATAAAATATTTAGTAGCTAAATGACTTTTAAAAAATACACACGCCAAATATCTTTTTGTTATAAATTCCTTTTAGCAGAATCTCTTGTTAGAAGGAATTATCAATCAAAACACTTTTAGTGAAGCTCCCACAAACACCACCTCCGTCTCCTCCAATATTTCATTTAAAAGTATATTATTCAAAATTTCATTTAATCCCATCTTCTATGAACATTTTGTTGCAATTGTTAGTAACTTCACCCAATTTATTGCTAATATTCATTCAAATGAAATGTTACAGGCAAAGAAGTTGTGATCCAATATCATGCCAAATATATTTATATATTTATTTGAATACTATAGTGGGAGGTCCTAGAATTAAAACAAATAAAAATTTTATAAACGGTATTAGTGCCTTCGAAAAGAGTGTGCAAAGCAACAGGATTGAGCCTGGTCAACTTAGAATGCTGATCCCAAGAAGCGATAATTGTACTATTCCAAATGGTTTACTTACTTTCTGTTTGGGCTCAAAATCTTAAAACTTAAAACTAGCCAACTTGTATCAACTTCTCGATCAACGGCCGAGTTTATTATAAGGTGTGTTTCTAAAATAAATCTACTTCAACAAAAAAATGACAACCGACGGCCGAGTTTATTATAAGGTGTGTTTCTAAAATAAATCTACTTCAACAAAAAAATGACAACCGACCACTAAATTAAAAATCAAAACATGCTGGGACACAATTTTTTTAGCATAATTTGCCCGTGTGTGACACGTGTCTGGCCACCAACCAAGAGTTCTAAATTTGTCTTCGTATTTTTTCCAATTAATACGTTTAAATAATAACTTGGATGATGATTGGTGATTATAACAGCATTTAATTTAGCACTAATTATTGGGGAGGTCATGGACAGAAGGGGGCTGTGGGTTGGGTATACGTGTCACAAAAGTAGTGGTTGCGAGAATCAAAGACTCATGGTCATGGACGGTGGTGGTGAATGAACGATGATGGTCGGTCACTGTGATGTTTCACAATACTCTTGTGGATTGGACCTGCTGTCTACGCCCATCATTGGAATTGTGGGGCCAATCATAATTCAAATTTAGGTAGTGTGGAAAAAAAATGCTACTATTAGACAAGTAATGTTTACATGCGCGGAATTTATGGTTCCCAAACATATGACTCTCATTTGTAATTTTATCACGGTCGCGAACCGTTAATGGTCGTAATTATATAATCTCAAATCACAAAATAACTTTTTGAATAAAGTATATTGACACTCTCTGAGATTTGTCAAAACACTTAGATGAAAATTGACCTATTTTAAAATAATGACACTCCCTCAAATTTGATATAGTTACCAAAAATACCCCAATGGTAATTAATTAACATTTTTACCATTTGATTTTTATATTGGCCAAGTTTAAATGTTGAAATGACAATTATAACCTCATACCCTTAATCGTTTGTTTCCTTCTCCTCTCTGTTATCTCTTCCTCCCAACACCATAACACACATACTGTTACACAGATACACATATACAGATACATATATATACACACACAAAGCTGATCTTGCTTTTTACAGAATAGTGAATCCATCATCGTCGGATTTTTCTCTCTGGCCGTACTTGCTAGCCGGCCACCATCATCCAAAGCTGATCTCGCCATCGTCACCATCCACGGCCGAGCCATGACAACACCGTCTTCAGCCTTGCACATCACTAAGCTCATCGCCGCTTCCATCACAGCCGACATCATCAAAGCTGAAGCTCTTCGCTATCACCCTTATCTGCGCCGCCACCGATTCATCTCTGCCATCACCCATTAGAGGAGGCAAAGTCGGCTTTGAAGCCAAGGATAATAACGATGAATTCGCATCCGCCAGATCTGTTCGGACCCACCTGTTGAAGAAATTGGCAGCGCCTGTCCCCGCCGGCACAGCTCCGGTTCTGCCTATATTCGACGCGATGGCTCCCGGACGGTCCCTAACTCCGGCGCTTGCCCTTGGACCAGGAGGACCTCACAACACTTCACCGCCGATCTACTTGTCTTCTTCATCGACGGTGTCTTCGATCCATCGCCGGTCTGCTTGTCTTTGATCCGCCAGAGATGTTGGCCTTTTTTGAGTTTCCGGCTGTGAAGAAAGAGTTGAGGAAACTCACAATCCTGCGCCTTGTGTGTGTATATATATATGTGTGTATGTGTGGTTGTGTGTATATGTGTGTGTATATATATATATGTATCTGTATATGTGTGTCTGTGTAATAGTATGTGTGTGTTGGCGTTGGGAGGAAGAGATAACAGAGAGGAGAAGGAAACAAATGGTTAAGGGTATGAGCTTATAATTGTCATTCCAACATTTAAATTGGTCAATATAAAAGTCAAAGGGTAAAAATGTCAATTCATTAACGTTGGGGTGTCTTTGGTAGCTATATCAAACTTGAGAAGATGCCATTGTCCTAAAATAGGCTAACTTTCATCTGAGTGTCCTTTTGGCAAACCTCATGTTTCATGAGTGTGCCTGGTGCACAATGCAAAGATATTATATTACATGTGTACAACACAGACACATGTAATATGTTTAGTAAATCGGATACATTGAATACCTACTCTTTAAATGGAGGGATATTGTAACGGGTGGGCGCTTGCCCATTTACCCAAAAGCTCAAACTGTTAGGTAAGGCTGCATACCCACCCATTTATACCTAATCTCTTTCCCATCCGATTCCGATGTGGGACAAAATGACCCTTATTACATTCTCCCCCACCTAAACTCGCAACGCCCTCGTTGCGGTTGGGCCACCCTGCCTACCCGGGTGGACTCACCGGACGCCTTCCGGGCCGGGCGCTTGGCGTGGCACCAGATCAAGGACTGGGTTTGGCTCTGATACCAACTGTAACGGGTGGGCGCTTACCCATTTACCCAAAAGCTCGAACTGTTAGGTAAGGCTGCATACCCACCCATTTATACCCAATCTCTTTCCCATCCGATTCCGATGTGGGACAAAATGACCCTTGTTACAGATGTAATAGAAGGGTTTTTATCATATATATATATATATATATATATATATATATATATATATATATATATGAAAATTGGTAAACATCAGCAAATGATTTTCATGATTTTATCACTAATGAGACATGGCATAATTAGTTTTCCTTTTCGAAGACGAGAGACAAACTCTCACTCAGATTTCCTTTTTGGAGTAATTTACTTTTTCCCGAATCGTTCAAGGATTTTCTTTAGGATTTTCTTTTGGAAGTTGCCGATGGCAACACAATTTTATTCTAGATTTTTGTTTGAAACCAGTGTGTGTGTGTATATATATATTTATTTATTTATATATTGAAGTGATGTATAATTAACAATAAAGAGAAGTATATTTAAATAATTTTTTATGCATTCCTTTAAAATTATAACTTTTAAATTTAAGATTGTGTTTGTATTTCTTTTGCATAGTTATGACTTGAAATTATAGATGATTATTTAAAATAAAATAAAAATTATATATATGATCGTATCTTGATTTTATCCACTTTAATTCTTAACCGCAATTCTAAATATAGATCTAAATTATTCATTACTCTAGGTTTAGGAAGAGCAAGTATACCGTAGAGGTCATTGAAAGTGAAAGAAATAAAAGTGGAGTATGTTTTACTTCACACACACATACGTGCGTATACATGTTCAGTGGATAGATCTACTTACGTTATTTCTCCAGCTTTGAGATAAATGGATGAGTACAAAAAGGTGGGGTCATTGAAAGTGAAAGAAATAAAAGATAGTGGAAATAAGGAATGGGGCGGCAAAAAACAAAGTTCAATTAATACTCTTAGGACACTACTCCACCATTACCACCACATTACCATATATACAAATATATATATGGGCTATATATAGCTCCTCAACTCTTCTTCCCATCACAAAACCAATCTTACAAAACCAATCTCTCTTTTTAGCATCTTTGTAGCTCACTCACACAAGAAGCCAATGGCCAAGGACATTGAGGTCGGCGAGTTCGCCGCCAAGGACTACCAAGACCCACCTCCCGCACCCTTCATTGACCCGGACGAGCTCACCAAGTGGTCATTCTACAGAGCCATCATCGCCGAGTTCATTGCCACCCTCTTGTTCCTCTACATCACTGTCCTCACTGTCATTGGCTACAAGAGCCAGACTGATCCAACCAAGAACGCCGACGGATGTGGTGGCGTCGGCATTCTCGGCATCGCTTGGGCATTTGGCGGCATGATCTTCGTCCTCGTCTACTGCACCGCCGGTATTTCTGGTGAGTCAATTTGCTATTGGGATTTCAACATTTCTTATAAGCTAATTGCAATTATACTACTAGTTTGCTCAATTTCTCATATTTATGGAATTTTTCAAGAAACATGGAAATCCCGAAAATCATGAATTTGCTCATTTTCTCATTTATATGAAAAAAAATTCTTTGGTGGTTTCATTTTCTTTAGCATAGATGTGGTATATTATTGGTTCATGAAATTTTTGAGAGTTTAATTATCATGTTATTGATCATGGTTTTGCTGAAATGTGCAGGAGGGCACATCAATCCGGCAGTTACCTTTGGGTTGTTTCTGGCTCGGAAGGTGTCTCTGGTCCGAGCTGTGATGTACATGGTGGCTCAGTGTCTAGGGGCCATATGTGGTTGTGCGTTGGTGAAGGCATTCCAGAAACCTTACTACGTCAAGTATGGTGGAGGTGCCAACGGGCTCTCTGATGGGTACAGCACAGGCACAGGGTTGGCAGCTGAAATCATAGGCACTTTCGTTCTCGTTTACACCGTCTTCTCGGCCACCGATCCCAAAAGAAGCGCCCGGGATTCCCATGTTCCTGTAAGTACCATGTGTTTGTATATATGTCATTGTGATTTCAGCATTTGCAAGTTTTAAGAAAATAAAATAGTGATGGACTCGGTTCTTATTTGAATTAAAGGTTCTGGCACCACTTCCAATTGGATTCGCCGTGTTCATGGTTCATTTGGCCACAATCCCAATCACTGGCACCGGTATTAACCCAGCTCGAAGCTTTGGAGCAGCTGTAATCTATGGCGAGGACAAAGCATGGGATGATCAAGTATGTCCCTCCCTCCTCTGCTTATTCTCGTTGTTTTACTTTTTTTATCTTAAATTTCTGTGTTTTTTTTCTTATGATACAAGGCCAAAACTGATCAATTTATATTTGCTCTCTGATGTTATGGTTTCAGTGGATCTTCTGGGTTGGACCATTCATCGGTGCTGCCATTGCCGCGTTCTACCACCAGTTCATTTTGAGAGCAGCGGCACTTAAAGCTCTGGGATCCTTCAGGAGCAATGCATAATATGCATTGGCTGCAGGACAGTTCGAGCAATGCAAATCTCTATGGTCAGAGAGGACTTGAGAAAGTTGTAAATAAGTATTAGCAAGGAAAGGGTGCCAATTTTCTTAGCATTCTGGTCTCGGCTCTCGTTTTTAGTGTGCCAAAATGTTGTCATATGCTCTGTTTTTATTTCCCTTTTTTTTTTTTTTTTTTTTTTTTTTGTTTTTTTTGGTGTTTCTCTTCCTATGTTGTTATGGCTCATGTTTAAGCATTTATATAATAAATTAAGCTTTTATTTTACCATGTCTCAGTCATTTACTTTAGTTATATGGACGTAATCTCTTATTCTGATTCCAGTATTGGTTCCACCTATGTGGGTTTCAGACCATTGCACCAAGAAATGGCTCTTACTTTCATGTTGTGATAAAGCTTTCTGATATTCATGCATTTTAAAGACCGACACACTCCGCGATATCAGAAGAAAACAATTCAAGGGCTGAGTAGATACATTTCGATTCGGGATGAGTTTCATCCCTGGTAGAAAATAAATGATTCCTCCCCTTTATTTCAACCCAACTACAACTCAACTCCCCCTTTGCGTCTCTTTCCCTCATTTGTTTCCTCATCTCTGCCACTTCCTTCCATCTCTTAGCTGATGCATAAATGTCAATAATCATCAGGCATGCACTTGAATTGTGAGGCTCTAGCTCTAAAATCCAACCGGCAGCATATAGACCCAATTCCAACTCACCCCAAACCCTACATCCAGTCAGCAATGTCCTCCAAAAGATAAGTGTGATCTCATTGGGCATTTGCATTATACTGTCATATGCTCTTTAAACAACCCAGAACGTGGAAATAGGTCAACCATGCTGGCATAGTGCTCAGGTCCAGGGGAATCCCATAATCCATCTTCATACTGTTAAAATATTGCTTCCCTTCTTCGACTAAATCACAATGGCTGCGACCATGTAGAAGTCCCAAGAAACTGATACGATCAGGCAAAAACTGAGCTTTTTGCATCTGATGAAAAGTTATTACAGCCTCTACACAATAAACATGCTGCCTAAAACCCATAATCATAGAATTCCAAGTAACATGGTCACGTTTGGGCAAGTCCACAAAAACGCACCATGCATTATCAAAACTGCCTGGTTTTACGAACATAGAAATGGCCGAATTCCCTATATGAAGGTTGCTATCAAATCCTCTTCTAAGGAGTTGAGCATAGACTTGCTCACTAACCGAAAGCATTGCTAGATCAGCAGAAGCAGCTAAAGCACTAGTAAATGAATGTGAAGTTGGGTGCATCCCTACTACCAACATTTCTTTGCAAACACTAAATGTTTCAGCAGGAAATCCATTTTGCTGAAAACCCGATATGATTGAAGGCCATGAAACAGAATTACGCTCAGGCATCTGCCTAAACAAACCCCACGCATCTTTAATTCGCGAGTTTTGAGACAGCGCTGTAACAATAGCCGTCCAACTAACATCTTTATCCACCATGACAACAAAGAGCTTCAATGCAATGTGTGTCTTTCTTTCTTTGGCACAAGTCATGATCATGGAATTCCAAGAAACAAAACTCTTCTCGGGTATTTCATCGAACAGTTCCCTTGCATCCCCAACCCTGTTGTTTTCAATATAGCATTTGATCATCACATTCCAAGAAAGAGGATCTCTGTGACCCATTTGTTCAAAAATCTTTTTTGCATGATCAACTTCTCCTCTTAGCGAGTAATCTGACATTATTTTTGTCAGTGTCACCACGTCTTCCTTCTTTGTGCAGTTACTATGCAATGCATATGCACTATGCCTGTGTTGGGGACGCACTAAAGAAACTTCGTTTCTGTTATGGAGGAATTTGGTGATTATTTGCATATATTTCATTTGGGGTTTGCCCTTATATAATGCTTCAACCATCTTCTTGGTATTGAAAAGCTCATTTGTAATGAACACGAACTAAATATCACACTTGAACTGGATATATATATATATATATATATATATAAATTTTGGTGGGGGCTACCATAAACCCTATCAAATTTTGAGATCCTTCACTAGTCAAGGTAGTACACCTTTGACGAGTATATATATCTTTCAAATTTTAAGCAGTGACACTGAAATTATTAAACATTTTAAGTACACAGTATCTATTAATCTGATGAAAACAAACCTTGAATTTTATTCAAGAAACTCTGATCACTATATTTGTGAAGCTATATAGGGCACTTTCCAGCATAAAATTGAAGATTAAGTGCTTTACAAATGAAGTAGGAAAAGTTCATTTGGTTTTACCAAATTCATGAGTTTGGAGCTCGGCAATAAAATCACATCACAACATAATTTGGTGCAAACCTTCAAACCACATTTTTTCTGTTTATGCAATGATAATTGTTGTTTAATTATTGCGCCATGTAAAATAACGGATTTCTATTGTCAGTAATTTAAGTTTACATATTGGATTATATGGGTGTTATTACACTTATATTAGGTGTCAAAATTGGGTGTTTTTTACTCCTAAATTAGGTGTGTAAATTTGACAGTGTACGGACATTTGCGCATGATTTGTTGATGTTAGTATGAGGTTGGACATTCCCGATTAAAATATAACTCTGTAAATGAATTCCTCTATAGGAAAAAATATTAAGTCCACAATTACAAACAAGTAACTTTCAGAGTAGTGGGTGACCAAAAAAAAAAAACTTTCAGAATAGTGTTTTCAACAATGAGTGAAACTAGGGCTGCCCAAAAAAAAAAAAAAGGGCACTTGAAACATCTTCCATGGGATGCTACAAAAAATAAATTAAAGTGAAGCTCACAACCATGAACTCCCTGATCTTACTCATCAGAAGGATTGCTTCCCATTTAGTAGACTTTCTTCTCTTCTCAGTCGAAAGTAGACTAAATAACAAACATGATGCTTGCATAAATGAGTTAAACCCCTGGATTAAAATGGAAAAATTAAACAGATTACATTCAATTCCTTAACTTATTTTGCTCAAAACGAAACCTCTCGTTGCCTTTCTCAAAGTCCAACTGAACATAAATTCTCACCTTAGACATGCAAGAACAAAGAAAAGCAAATATTGATATCATCATGCCATAGATGCTTGTTTCTTCCCTTTCTTACTGCCAATGGTTGTCTTCCCTCCCACCATCATCCTTGAAAGAATATCAGCTTGTTTCGTATTTCCCTCCGCATTGAGGCTCCTGATCAGACCCTCACAGCTACTCCTATCACTGACTCCTCCTTTCTCCATTATCTTACTCAATATTGAATATGAATTGAGGGTTTTTCCGGCTAACAAAAGAGCATCCAACACCTTATCGTAGCTTGAGGAGTCAATGTTACAGTCTCTCTCCAAACAAAAATCTAAAAGCTTCAGAGCAGCAATGGTTTTTCCTTTCTCACACAGAATGGATAAAAGACTATCAAAATCAGGTGCCCATCCACCATGCATCAGCAGTTCAAGTCTTCCAAGAGCTTCCTCAACATGACCCCTCATGAGCAGAGCTTCCCAGATCTTAGCAACCAAGTCCATGTTCTCCATCACCCCCTTCTCCACCATAGTCTTCATCACCCTGCTTGCTGTTTGAACTCTCTCATCTTCAAACAAACTCTCCATTAACGACCTGTATAGTAATGAATCTGGAAGATGTCCTTGTTCAATCATACTGTCGAAAGCTGTTTTAGCATCTGCTGGTTCACCTTTCTTCAAGTAGCTCTCAATGAGCAACTTGTAAGCACTTCCTTCCGAAGGAACATGTCTCTTGACCATGATCTTCAAAATTTCAAAAGCAGAATCAGGAGTCCCTTCTGTTGAGTGCCCACGGATAAGATTATTGAAAGCAATTGGATCCGGCACACCCTTTTTCATTAATTGTCGGAAAAGGGTTTCACCCTTTTCTGTCTCGCCATTGTTGCAGAGATACATAATTACCGGGTTATATGAACTAAACTCCAAAGTACTCTTGGGATCCAAGATGATTTCCTTCTCAATAAGCTTATCCAACAATTTAACTGCCCTGTCATACACCCCAGCCTTGCAAAAATTCTCAATTACAACGCCATAGTGTCCGGCATCTGTTGGAATGCTTAATCTAGTCATTGATTTGAGCACATCTGCAGCTGCAACTAAATCACCTGCCTTGCACTGGCCAGAGATCAATCTCATGAAGATTGAATTATCCTTAGGAGCAATGTATCTCCCTACCATCTCCTTGAAAATGTTATGAGCCTCACTCATTCTCTCAGCGTCACAGAGCCCAGGTAACAGAGTAGAGTATGTAAAAGCATTCGGTTCAATACTAAAACTTTTGGGAAAATTACATATAAATGGAGTCAAAGTTCCATATTTACTTAGAGGCTGAGTCAAAGTTCCATATTTCTCTAAAATGGATTGCTGAGGTGGCACATGGTTTTTTACTGTTTAGAAATTGTGGTGCCTAAAATACCCTTCCGCGAAGGTACTACTTTTTCTTCGAATGCACTACTTTTTTGAACTGAAGGTACTATTTTTTGGCGTCCAGGTACCATATTTTTTAAACACCCGCGAAAGTACTACTTTTTCTCTGAAGGTACTACTTTTTTGAACTGAAGATACTACTTTTTTGTTAGGGAAGGGCATTTTAGGCACCACAATTTTCTAAACAGTAAAAAACTATGTGCCACCTCAGCAATCCATTTTAGAGAAATATGGAACTTTGACTCGGTCTCTAAGTAAATATGGAACTTTGACTCCATTTATATGTAATTTTCCCAAAACTTTTCATCTCTTCAAACAATTTCAACCCATCATCAAGTCGCCCGACCGAAACATACCCCTTAATCATGATGGTATAACTTATCACATTGGGCTCTATGTTTCTTCCCTTCATCTCCACAAAAAATTTCTCGGCCTCCTCCATCTTCTTGACCCGGTAATACTCACTTATCATAATGTTATATGTCACTACATCAGGCGAAATCTCTCTAGTTTTCATATCTTCAAAGAATCGATTCGCAGTCTCGACCTTCAAAGAAAGGAAGAAACCCCAAATCATAGCATTATATGTCTGACGAGTAGGCATTATATTTTCACTCAACATCTTATTGAAGTACCTATTTGCCATCATATACCGCCCCCTGCGCATAATCACCCTAAATAAAGTATCATACGATTTTGTAGTCCTCTCCACACCCAACTCCTCTATTATCTGAAACAACTTTACACTCTCTTGAACAATTCCCGCCTTACCATAACTATCAATCAACAGGATAAAAAAAATCTTCATTCCATTCCACACCCTTCTTC